TTTTTTTTTTCCTGTCTGAAATGTGGATTCCCTCTTTAGTCTGTGACCCAAAGACCTGGGTTGAGTCCTGGTGTTTTGCCTAGAGCCTCAAAACAAGATTCAATCAGGTCACATGCTGAGTGAACAGTTGTCTAGAATTAGAATCCACAAGGTACCTCAATCATTTATTAGGAAATAACCTATGCAATCATTTTACCAGTGATATGCMAGCTGCCAAAAGATGGCTGGAAGACATATTCCTGCTTTTGTATCACACCAAGCAGACAAGGGAGCTGACAGCTCCAAGCAATCCAGACAGGTTTTGGATCTAGTTTTGGTTCCTGTAACTTCCCACACAGCCCAAAATGCAGGAGGCCAGACTAAACAGAAACTGCATTTCTGCCCCAGCATATGAGAGAATCTCCTGACTGGGATAGGTGAAGGTGCAKGGTTGCAGGTGTGTGAGCATGCAGCATTGGAATCAAGTGGAGACAGGCCCTCTCCTGCATGTGGACATGACTCAATACTGAGTTAGAAACCACCAACGCCACTGATGCTGACACCGGTGTTTGCTGACACAAGGGTTGCAGTTACAGGTTCAAGCAAGGGCACTTCTGATTTCAAGTACTGACAATGCAGAAACAACACTTTTCTCTCCAAGTGAGCCTTATTTTCTTAACACTGCTGTTGTTTGGATAAAACATTCATTTTCATGTTTCAAAAATGCAGCAGTGCTCAGAGAACCTGGAGACCATAGTCCTGGAAGGGATTTAGGGGGTTTGGCACCCCTAAACCCCTTGGGTTTAGCACCCAAATCCCTGGTGGGAGGGGGGAGCATGGTGGTGGTGTAGGTAGTGTGCCTGTCTCCAGGGCTCTGCAAAAACTACTTGTGCACTGCAAGAACAAAGGAATTGTAACTGAAGCTTATTCAGGAAAACCTGGTTTTCCTGAATATGAAACTTAAAATGGAGTAACTGCTTGCAACACACCAGTTCGCTAAGTTTTGATGGGGGCTGCCAAGTAGCACTGTGGAGTGTTTCCACTAYACATGTACATGTAAAGCAGGGAAATTTTCCCTGATGTAGGGGAATCTTTGGTGGAAATTTTGAAGGAAACAATTTCTGGCAGGATTACCTCACAGGGTTTTACCTTACACATGTATTTCTTTTGGATGATTCATCTCATTTCCTTTCAGTATGTGAATCCACAGGAGTTTATAGCTTTATGCACTCTAACTCAGAGGATTAATCTCAACGGACCAGATGAGTAATGAATTCTTGCAATGCAGGCAAAAATTATATAGCAGAGTTCATGTAGTGCTGTATGGACTTAGGGTTCAGGCAGCTCAAATTCAGATGCTGTGCACTGCAAAGTTCATAGCATCAAGTTCTTCCTCTTTTTCTTTCCCTGCAATTACCATGCATATATGAGAGCTTTTCTCATACAGACCCCCCACAGCCCTCTACAGCATCTCTGGTGCTTTCAGTAGACCCTGGGATGACTCTCGCAGCTAGATGTAGGGAGAGGGGCCAACAGAGAAGAGCACACTTGAGTGAATAATCTCTGAGGCCTCTGCAAAGTCATCTGACACCCCCTGAGGCTGAACATTTCCTCTGCACTGGGTTTTAAAGRAAGCCTGAGGCTTTGTTTCTCCAAGCAGCTGAGCTGCTCTAACAGCCTGCTGCCTCTGAAAGGGGTTCTTTTATCTGCCATCCCTTTCATTTGTGGCTGGCTCTCCCTGAACTTCTTTGGCTCATTACCCAAGAAGATAGCCACCTGCTTTCTTTTTCCTAATTATTGTTCTCTGGGCTAACAGGTCTGARCGCTGATGGAGCTGGAAGATGGCACCAGGGGTGGGATGGGTGGTGARGAGCAGAGCAGGGGTTGCACAAATGGACTCCTTGGCAGGGAGAGCCTGGGAARCAGCTCAGGTGTGGTTTGAGGTGCACCATCTCTGCCTCTGAAGGAGCATCCACTTCCCCAGCATGGATGCAGGCTCTTGGCAGGCTCCAGGGTGAGTCAGCCATGGACCTTAAGTGAACAGCCAATTTAATACCACAGAAAAGACAAGCAGCTTTTATTTCCAGCCTTTATCTCCTGAGCTGGGGGCTGGAGAAGAGTCAGGCCAGTACAAGGGAGCAGGCAAGGAAAGCAACCAGATCCAATGCTGGCTCCATGAAGGCTGAAAAAACACTTTACCTGTAGGTTCCTCCAGTCTTGATTCTGAAGGGAAACCTACAATAGACTTTTGAAAGATGAGCCTAAAAATTGAAACCTAATTCTGCAGACACTAACAAYGGCAAACTCATTTTAAGCACTTCACAGAGTTACGGAATTTGCTCCCTACACACTGCAKGGTGCCAAAGGTGCTGTCACCACCTTGCTTTGGCCCTTGCCAGCTGGCACTGCTGCCCACAGGTACAAATCATGGGGTAGCTGATCGAGTAAGGGCTGAGGGATGAAAGGCAGAGCAGCTGTTCCCACCCAGGCTGCCCAGGAGCTTTGCTGAGGGCTAGAGAAATACAGACTTTCTCTTGTCAGCAGATTGCTTGATGTATCAGGAGCAGTGCCTTTTCAATGAAGTTTATCTCCCTGTGTGCAATTAATTATGCAATGCTCAAAGAAGAGCCTTGGATGATTCAGAAAGCTGACTTTGCTAATGAGTGGCTCTAATTGCAGARCAGAAGTGTGGGTGAACTGGGAGCCAGCTCCAAGCACAGCCTATTTGGGTAGAGTTGGCCAGGGTGGGTGTCCTGTTAGCATGACTGGGTCAGCATCTTGGTAGGTGCAGGTATGTTTCTCACCAACTTTAGAGGAAAATAGCTTTTTTTTTTTTTTTTTTTTTTAATTTCCTAATGTGATGAATACATCAGATTAAGGGTGAAGGTGTGGTTGGATCCTGGTTGAATCAGTGGTGCAGCATTAGGCTGTAACCAGGGTGCAATTTTCTGAAGACATTTTTACAGGTACAAATCCACCCTAAAGGCAGATGTGTACGTGACTCCTCCCCAGCACACCAGGATAGGGTGGAAGATTAATTTCTGCAGCCAGAAATTTMTGCATCCCTGTATCATGTTTAGAGCAGATTGATGCCAGCTATAATTTTAGATGTTGGTGATGCAATAAAAATTTTTTTGTCTATATCTCATTGTAGGACTGACAAGTGTGTGTAACCCCTCATCAGCTGCTCTTGTCAACAGCTTCATTATTAAACACAGGCAGTTAAATACTGTGAGACAGTCTTTCATCTTCTTCCTCATCCATATCACAAATTAGAAGTCACTTAAAAAGAGTTTATTAAAAAGTAGCACTGGTTTCTTAATTGCTTTCTGATTACATTTGGACCTACACTGCTYTCTTGGATGAACATGGTGATTACCACTCAGAGAGATGACATCTTAAATAGAAGAAATWATGTATTTTCAAGAAAAATGGCCAGCTTAACTGGATTCTACCTTATAAATAGTCTACCAGGTCTCAGGAACCTTCTCTAACTCCCCAGTGCTGTGTGTCTGGGCTCAGAGCACTTACAGCTTTTCATTCTAACAATGGTGACAGTGTGGCTTCTTGTCCCATGTCCAAGGGAACCTGAGCTCTTCCCACATGCCCTCAGGTGGGAGAGAGCCAAAGGGGTAAGTTGAACAGGAGAGAAATGCTTCATTATAACTGWATGGTCCTCAAAAGGCAGAAATTATGGTAGGATTAAGCCAGAGTCAATAACCAGGGCTCAGGGAGGAGCTGGCATGGAGGAAACTGGTGGGTCAGTATGGTAATTTTATTATTGCCCTTGCCCTCTGGGGGCCATAATTACACACATTGGAATTACACACAGTCCGCTGTGCCAGCATGGTGCTGAACCTCAAGACCTGGGCTGTCATATCATCCCRAAGTTCTTCTAATTCAAGGGGGCTGTCCAAGCAGGGGACACCTGGAAGGCCCTGCTCCAGCTGAGGTATCCCCAAGGCCAGAGGTGATTTCCCTGCTGGGCTCAGAGAGAGCCTGGGGAGGTGACAGGCAGGTGACATTAGCAGGGGTGTGTTCGGTCTCAGCCCACCTCCAAAATCATCTTCTGGATGTCTGAAGCTGCTGCAGAGGTGCAGGTGCTGCGAGGGACCCTGTGCTGAATGTGGCCCAGCCCTGAGCTTTTCAGCGGGCATTGAGGACCAGAGGGACACCAGAGGGACACCAGAGGGACACCAGAGGGACACCAGAGCCCCAGCTGAGGCTGCCCTGGGGCACAGCAGTGTCCCCTCCTCCTCCGTGCCAGCAGGGAGGCACAGGCATGGCTGTGGTGCCAGGCAGGAGCACTGCAGTGCAGTGTGGTGCTGAACAGGGGGTGACATGTCTGTGAGGCCCTGGGAGCAGAAGCCTCGCTGTGCTGGCCCTGCCTGGCTGAGCCACTGCCTGTCCCCCAGCCCTGTCACCACACGTGGGACCAGGTAGTGCAGGCAGCCCCTGAAGAGGGGGTGGTGCAGTTGTCACCCTGAAAGTGAAGGGCAGAAGGCAGAAGTTTGGCTGCTGGAGCATCTGTCCCAGGGCAGCAGGCCCGTCCTGCCCTCATTCCTGCTGAGGGCTCAGAAGAGGCCGGTGGAGCTGAGCGGAGCAAGGATGACAGGGGCATCGGGCGGGGTGAGGATGGGTGTCGTGTCCGACGTGGTCTCCTCAGCCTCGCTCTCCATATCCTCCAAGCTCTCGCTGACAGAGGGGATGATCTGCACCACCTTCTCCTGGAAGTGCACTTGCTTGCGAGGGACTGCCATGGTGGCTGCTTGGGCAGGAGTTTCTGGGGCCGAGCCCCTGTCCTTGCTGCCCTTCAGGATGCTCTTCATATGGCCCAGAAGCGACTGGTGCTGCTCTCTCTGGGCCCCGTGGAAGGTGTAGGTCTGCTCTGTGTCACCAATGATGGTCGGGGTTGCCACAGTGGCCGACGGGTCCACGTACTGGCCCGCCTGAGGATGTGTCTCTTTGTGCCCCGGGCTCTTCCTCCTCTTGCTCAGCAGGAAGTAGGCCAGGGCGGTGAGCACCAGCATGGACCCTGGGGAGAAGGCCRTGATGGCTGAGGGCTGGGCCAAGTGGGAAGAGTTTGCCAAGCAGTGCTCGGTCTGGCTAGCCCAGCGCCATCTGCCACCAGCCCAGCTCCCTGACCATCCCCGCTCTTGCTGGCCCTTGACTGACCATGCCCCTCTTCCATCCGCACTACTCCCCACCCAAGCTTCTCACCAGGGATGGTGAYGTGCCAGACGAGGACAGGATGCAGGAAGCAAGCCACTGACAGCAGCGTGTACCCCAGAAATTTCTGGAAGCTCCCTGGGTGTCTAGCTCGCTTCCAGCAGGACTGTGACAGGGATTCAGGCTTGTGACTGGGGAGAGAAAGAGAGGTCCTTGTGGGATGAGGCATCAAGCACATGCCAAGAAGATTTGGATCTAACCATCACTCATCTAGATGTGCAGATCCTCGCTCTGGTTTGCAGGAAATGGGTGTGTTTGTCAGAGGAGGTAAGCAAAGCTGAGTATCTCCTGTTGGGAGGAGCATTTGCCAGARGGCAGCATCTCAGCACCTCACTAATCAAGTTCCTATGAGCTGGGGTAAGATGCTGCCTCTGAGCTCTGAGGACTTGTGAGTTTATGCTGGAAGACAGCAGCAGCGCTCAGCCTCTGAAAAGGCCATAAGGACCGTCTGCATTTTAACTTCAACTTGTGCGCTGTCTCTGGAGGGAGCTGAAGCTCACTCAGGGGATCTGGCTCTTCCCTCAACCCCAGTACCTTGTGCCTTCATGTTGTGTTAAAACAGATGCTGGAGACCAGGGCCTGTTGTGCTGATGCTCAGCAAACTAAGGCACAGGCCTGGGTTAAAACACAGATTTAAAGGGCAGTGGACACACACCCATTTACCTCCCCCCTGTYTGAGGACACTTGCCTTGGCATTAGGGGCAGGGCCTTTGGTGTGGCACTGGCAGCTCCCCCAGGTCTGGGGCTGCCTGAAAGGGGCAAGGTGCCTTAGGGAGGTCCCACTGTGGCTGGAGAGTTGTGGGCAGGGTCTACTCACGTGAGGCACATCTCCAGGAACAAACTGATAAAGAAGAAGCCTTCACAGACAGTAACTGCAACTCCTGAAAAACTGAAAGGTGGAGCTGTCAGGGGAGCAGGGCTGTGCTTGTGTATGTTCGCCAGGTAGGCAAAAAGGGCACAGGGGGCCAGAATTTACTGCCCAGCTCCCAACACAGTCTGTCATTTGAGGTCTGAACACCCACAGCTCATCTGGTTCGTGAAGGAAAACTCACAGCTCTTCTGTCCCTGGGGAGTGAACTTGCAGCCAGTGTCACCTCTGGCCTGCCTGAGTCTGCAGTAACATCTTTTCTAACAGAAATAGGTTATTTACTTTGGGGATCTGAAAGCCCCAAAGCCTTGGACACTGTTCCCGGCTGCTTTTGCAGTCTAGTCTGGTGCTACACATGTTGGAGGGGTTGACCTTGTCACCCCTGCYAGCTCTGATTTCAAGGACAAAAATACTCACAGCAGGTAGAAAGCCAGGCTTTTGAACTGTCCTCGCTGCAGAGTCTCTACGCCCACACCAATCAGCACTAGAAAGAGAAGGTAGGAAAGATGCTGGCTGCAGGGCTCGTTCCCAGTTCCCTTGGGTTAGTTCCCAGCTCCCAGGATAGATGCTCCCATTCCCCCAGGGGCTAGCAAGGCTGCTCCTCCCATGCAGGGCAGCACCTTAGGGCTGCCAGCACCAGTGATTCATGCTGACACAGCAGCCCACTCAGAGCTCAGTGCTGCCCTTGACATGCACTCCTGAAATCCATCCCACCCCATTATTGCAGCCTTCCYGCTGTGTGGGCTGGGGAAAGGTGCTCTGGGAATGCCAGCTGGCCTTGGACAGTGTGGGATGGGAGCAGCAGGGTGCTGGGACCATTCAATCCTGGGCTGTGCCACCACGTCTCAGCTGCCACAGGGCCCAGTGCCCAATGCCCCACCCATCTCTGCCCAGGTCCCCTCAAGTGCCTGCCAGCCCCTTGCCCTCCCTGCTTGCCCAGGCCTGCTGCACCCAACACGTGGCTGCAGTGCAGGGGAGCTGTGCCAGCTGCCTTCACAAGGGGCTGTAGCCATAGCATCAAGATCCTTTSCTAGCCAAACAGAAAAACATATAAYGGGAGCAGGCAGATCAAAAAYAGGGAATGAACGTTCCCTCAGTGCCCCAGCCAGTACAGCACACCAGGGAGTCAGTTTAAGGGAGATTAAGAGAATTAGCAAGGCTAAAATCTTTGATGGATTGGCCAATACCTTCAGGGGACAGAAAATTTCCTTCARCATTCTTCAGTTCACTTCAAGACCATTTCTAAAGCAGAGCAGAAATGTTATGCCTCACACCAGCTGCAGCAAGTTGCTCAGTACATGCCAATGGCCAGAATGTCACCCTGGACAGTCTCCTGTCTGCACCTGATGTCTCCACCCATCCACTGGTGCTCAGGAAGTTCCCCACCAGTCCTGCACAATGSACACTGGCCAAGGTTTGAGGTGCAGGTTGGATCCATCTCTCTGAGCTGTGGTTTGCCCGATCTGGAGAAGGGTACCAGGCCCCCAAACAAGAACTCAGATCAGTGTCCATCAAGACTGCAGGGTAGGTCAATGCCAAGGGTCAGCTYTCCCATCTGAGCTGAAAGAAAGCCCTCTGTGTTTTCCCTGTGTCACCTGCTGCTGCTGGCCCCTGTCAGCCAAGGGAACACATGGGGCCCATGTGCCACCCTCCTACACTGCCTTTCCAGYCCTGAGCAGAGCACAGGGAAATCAGTCTCATCAGAGGGCTGTGAAGCTGCAAGAGCTGTGTAATCCTACATGCAAAGCACTGTCTTTTAGTATCTTGTGACTGAGGATCATTCTTTATAATCTTCCTAACAAAAGTGGTGTTCATTCATTCTCATTCATTCATTCTCTCATTCATTCCTTGTGGATGAATGCAGAATTCTACAGCTTGGCTGTTAGCTCAAGCCTCTGCTCTGGATGGGGAGATTTCCTCCTTTTGCACAGCTTCTGCTTTATCCACAAAGCTGYTTGGATGAAGAATCTGCAAGAAGAAAAGAACTGTTTCCGAGGTGTTTGTTTGGGCTAGTCACTGCCTTGATTTGGATCTTKTCCAAACCATGTGGCTAAAGGCACATGATTAGGAATTAAATGGTTGAAAGCATGAGAATTAAGAAATAAGTAGGAACTCTTTCCTAGATGCAAAATCCCAAGGCCTAAAATCACTGAATTAGAGGTGTGCAAACACTGAAGCAAATCACAGGGATGTTTGACAACTCTTTGCTAACTTGTCCTAAGTTAGCCATTTTCTGATAAAAAGGAAACCCTATAGCCACTCCAAGATCCCAGGGGAAGGGGAGGTTTACRTTATGTGGGTAACCTGTATTTGCTAGCAGCATAAGGAGCTGGCCAGGCCTTCTCAGAATCAATTAGCAAGGCTGATGCACTCTCCCTTTCATAGTTTTTTTTCAAACAAAACCCATGGGAATCTCTTCTGCATGGTTTCCATTTCATGCAAAAACCTCACACACCTCATCAGGCACTGAACACTGCATCAAGCTGATTTCTTACTCCATTGAGACACACAGAGGAATGAAACACAGGCACATCCCATACTTCACTGGCCTTGTGGGAAAGTCAGGTGATACTGGGAATGCACCAGAGCTATGRAAAAGAACAGCGAGTTGAGTGCAGCTCTCTATGCTCTGTGATGCTCAGCAGACAGATAACTGCCCTGCTCATTTAAAGAAAAACTAAAAAAAGAGGTGCAGATGCTGCAAAATAATGAAAACATGCAGAAGAGAAAGATGATATTCCACTAACACACTTTCACATTGTAAATTACTTTCAATTTTCTTCTAGCTTTAGTTTTCTCATGGCAATAAGCCCACATGTTCTCCCAGGAAGGTCTCAAGGAGTTTACTTGGAGTTTTAAGTGAGAATATGACCAGCATGAGGCTCATATGGGCTCAAGRGGATGGGGATGAAGAAATGAAGAGATCTGCATTTTCTGATAAAAGCTGTGTCCCATCTCCCACTGCTGCAGTATCATCATGACACTCACTTATCTCCTGGGAGTTTGGGTAAACTCAGATCTCTGCCTGTTATCAGTATSAGTCCTTTAAAACACATTCCAGAGCCTCCATCATCCCAGCTGGGGTTTGTGTGTCCTTGGAAACCCATGCACTCTTCAGCTGACCTGTGTGCTTTCCACTTTGTCCCCAACTTGAGCAAAGTGTCTCTTTGTGACAGTCTGCAGCTGATAAAGGAAATACAAAGGCAGGAGGGCCTGCTGTGGCTTACTCTGCAGTGTCTGACTCTGAAATCCCTGGGGGTCTGAAACAGGAACCACAGGCACCAYCTCAAGTCACCTCTCACCAGGAACCTCCAGCCTTTAGACAAATCAGGCACTTTGATCTCCGCTTTACTGATGGGGAAACTGAGGAAGAGAGTGCTGCCTGTCCTGCCTCATAACATCTAGTCATCAACAGTGTCAGAGTCAACCCCTGAGCCCTCTGCTTTAGCTGATTGTCCRGGCCCCCTCTGGAGATGCTCCATGTGAGACGGTGCTCAATCCTCSTGGGTGAGATGCTGTGCCTGACACTCAGCTCCAAACACCTGCATTTCACCTGAAACCAAGCAGCTGGGTATGTCACCAAACCCAGAACACCCTGGTCCCAAGCAGACCCTGGCAGCGGGTGAGAGGATGCAACTCACCAGGTGGGTGAATTTATGATGTTTGTACTGCAGCTATAACCTGAGCGGCTCTGAGCTGCTTGCTAACAGGTTGCTAGAGAGGCAGAGMGGTGCTTCTGTAGTAACTATGCCATGATGGCTGGGATGGAACCTCTCCATCCTGCCTGGTACAGGACAGCTCACTGTGCACAGCACAAGGAGCTCCTCCTTCATCTTCACATCCCACAGAGTAGCCTGGCAGTTTGGCATAGCCATGAGTATTTTGCTTTTCAGTCTCATTCACATTTTGCCTGTGTCTTTATCTGTTTTAGAAGAATACATTTTAGTTTTCACTTTTTTTTTTTTTTTTTTTTTTTTTTTTTCTTTCTGATTTTTTTTTTTTTTTTTTTTTTTTTTTTTTTTTTTTTTTTTTTTTTTTTTTTTGCCCTCTGAATCTTGGTTCTTCCTTCCTGATGTCTTCCTATTCCTTCCACAGCATTTGGAAAGAGCCTGGCCAGGCTCTCTCCTATTCTGGGTTCCAAAGCAAAAACGAGCATGTTTCCTTGTCACCCTCACAGGATGGGGCAGTGACTGCCAGTGACAGACCTGGCCAAAGGCAGGGAGGGAGCCTGGTGGTCCCAACTCTCACTCAGCGCCTTTTAGTGCAAAAGAAAATGAGAATTTGCTCTTACCTGCTGCGGTGGAGATGCCCAGCAATCGGCAGGTGTACTCCAGGGCACTCCAAAATGCCTTGTGCTGCATGGTGAAGAGATGMAGGCTGCGGTACAGCCAGGCAGAAACTCCTCTTCAGAGCCCCCACCTGAAGCGCAGCCCAGCAGCTCCCAGAAGCAGGCAGAGCTGTCTCTCCCTGGACCGAGTGACCTTCCTGAAGGAAAGGGCAGTGCGGGCAGGACTGGCCACCTCCACGGGGGGAGGGTGGTCGGAGAATGAGCTGCCACCCCAGGGAACCGGCCAGCGCTGCTTCCTGCTGCTCCCGAGGGGGCTGTGGAGACCTGGCCTTTTCCTGCTCCTCGTCGGCCCGGGGGTGATTAATGATTGGTAAGGCASGGGTGCGGCTTCGGGAGCGTTTGTACCCCAAGTGCATGGGTGCACGGCCTTCYCTGCTCCCGAGCTGGAGGCTCTGGGAGCCCAAGCTGATTAAACGAATGTGAAGTCATTAKTGCTGTGCAGCTCCCGGCAGGTTAACCATTTGTGAGGATGACGATGTTTGCTCTTGGCGAGAGAGCAGCGCGYTTCTGGCAAGTCACGAGGGGCACCCCAGCCCCACAGCTCCTCAGCTGAGCCCCCAGCCATAGCTGCTGCTCACCATCCAGCTTCTGACTAGCGGGCATGGGAGGTGGCTGTGCTGCTGTGCAGTCACAGCCACAAAGAGATCAGATGTATTCACAGGGGTCCTACAGACGTGGGACTGCCATAGCAGGGGASATCTGTATTTCTGTTCTTGGGAACCCCAGGGAAATATGGTTTTATGTTGTGGCTACCAGAGCCATTTGAACAGCACCGGGATCTCACAAGTGCCACAACACGGGAATGGGCTGCACAGGTGCTCTGAGCTCTTTGCTTTGGATTTGGTAGACAGTCTGGGGGTYCTTGGCTTCTTTCTGCAGGACACATTGCCTCAGGGGAGGGGCAGCTCTAGGTATATCTGAAGGACAAGACAAGAAACCACTGTCTGTTCTGGACCCCAGCCCCGCTGTCCTGTGTGCTTGAATAGGATACATCTCACTGGAGGTCACAATCGAGCCCACCTCAGGGAAAAGGTGGTGTGGGCAGCAGCATCAGGGCATGGTAGGAGGGTCATGTGAGCACAGCACAGTCCCAGGGGGCAGCACGGWCGTGTGGTGCTGCAGGGCTTTGGGTTCACAGGTCAGTGAGCTCACCTTGTGCTGCAGCCGGCGTCTGGAGAGTCATTGCAGCCCCTGCCCCTCGCCGCACTGTCTGGGAAGCTGTTGTGGGCAAGGGATTGGGTGAATCATGCTCAACTCACACACAGACAGCCCTTCTGGGAGGGAGCAACCAGCTGAACCTGTCCCCWGCGATCCCTTCTCACATGCCTGACACCATGAAGCTGAGCCTGGTCTGTATGTGTTGTATGACTTGTCCTGGGGGCAGAGATGACATGTTCCAAGGACACAGTGACAGCTTCTCTTCCACAAGTTCTTGATGTAGATTTCAARCTGGGATTTTCCCAGGGCAGCCAAATGCCTGAGCTTATGAAATGGGTCCATGACTCCTGTAAATAACTGCTGATACTGGTTTTTTGAACATTCACAAGGTTGTGAGTGACAGGGATTTTGCAGCATGCAATCCTGACAAGATTTGGGCACAGTGCACATTTTCCACATGAAAAATGGAAAAGCCCACTGGAGAAGGGTTTCTAGAGCATCCTGAGGGGCAATGCTGAATGGTGCAAACTCAAATCGTCTTCTCTTTGCAGCGCTGGCACTGCCTTTGGGTGTTCCCATTTCCTCTTGTCCTCCTGCATGACCTCAGGTGTTTGATGGAACTTGTGTCTTATACAACTGCTGACTCAGTGGTGTGCCTTCCTTTTCAAGAAAGTGGGAAACAGAGGCAGCCAGCAGGCAAGGTCACATGAAGGCTGAGGAGAAGCCCAGCTGGGGTACCTGCTGCCCTCCTGCTATGGCTGGGCATTGCTTGGGTGATCCCATGGCATCTCATGGTGCATTGCTGGAGGCTCCAGAAGCACCTTCTCTCTCCAGAAATCACCAGAAAATGGCTTAAGAGCCCTGGGGTTTACAGAATGCAGATTCACAGAATATTCTGAGTTGGAAGGGATCCACAAAGGTCATCTAGTCCAACTCTTAAGTAAGTGGCCCATATGTGGGTTGACCCCACAACCTTGGTGTTACTAGCAGCATGCTGTAACTGAGCTAACCTTAGGGATTCCCAGGCTGTACAGGTTGTACAGTCTCTTTCACGTTGTGCAARCAGTCTGGATGCTTTTTTTCTTGCTGTCATACTCTTTTGTAAACACTGATTATTGAATTGAACGTGTCTCTTTACAAATGTGAAGAGTAGAAAACTACTTTAAAAGCAAATGGAGGAAAGGAAGACATAAGAGTTTTTCAGGATCACTTAGAGCCATGAACTTAGGCTTGAGGAAAAGCAGAAACACCACAGTGCGACCCTGAGTATAAGCACCCATCTCTGGTGGCAGTGCCCTTAGCCARCATGGAGAGTGCAGAATGCTGGGCTCTTACTCTGGCACTCTTACTCAACTTCACTGAGCTCTCACCCACAAAATAAATGACTTTGTCTAAGTGCCCTTGACAGCAATGTTTCCTTTCCGGAAAGCAACATGCCCCAGGGTTTTAAATAATGTAAATGTATGGGTGGCAGTGGTGGTCGTCATGGAGGAACAGAATCTATTTGGAAAAAGTAGATTAATACATTAACAATTTAAACCTTCCATCTCCTGCCCATGTTCCTTTGGCTACTGCCCAGCCTCCACCCTTTGGGTGGACCTACATTAGCCTTCCTGAGGGAGACCCTTGGCCTGGGGCAACATATGGTCTTCACTCACTCTTGCTGGGTGCACCAGTGTTTCTCACTCCAGTGCCCAGCAGGGTAGCATGGAGTGAGTTGGTATCCTCAGACTTCATTTGTATCGACACTTATTTAGCAGCTCCTTCTTTCATTTAGGATATTTTTGGCTAGTGCTCCTCAAAGCAACCTCACATGAACTTGATTTTTCTTAGTAGAAGGGTCCCTTTTTCTTCTGCCTCTGTTCAAGTGTGGAGATGGTACCCTCTAAGACCTCTGAGGGTGTGTTTTGATGAGGTTTTTAGGAATGAATTTACGCAGTCAGAAGAGAACTGACAACTTCTGAGCTTAGAGGGGTTTAATAGCCTGTAACCAACATTGCAGAACCTATGCACCAGCACAAGCTGTTCCAGGACACGTAACAGCAGTGGTCTCTGCTGCACATTAAGCCACCTCTCTTGCGCAGAGGCTTGCCATTCGCACTTTGGCTGCCAGCCAGGATTTGCATTTACAGTCTGCTTCCCGGGATATATGGGTTGATTTGAGAGGTATTTATCTCAGGGTTACAGTTTCATGGTGCTGTTGGTCTTTGTCTTCATCTGTCCCTCCTCATGCTTTGCTCGAGCCCGTTTTGCTGTGGCATGACCACCTTGGCCATTTTTCTGTGACCAAGGCYACAGAGCAGCATCTGTGTGGCTGCCCTTGTAAGGGTGTGGGGGAGCAGCACACTCCCCTCATGTTTRTCTCTGCAGAATGGTGATGCTGCAAGGGGGCTGCAGAGAGGGGAAATCCCATCCTGGGGCATAGGGTTCCACAAGCCATGCTCTAGAAGAAACCCACAGGAACATGTTTAACTTAACTTGCCCAGCATGTAAAAACAGCTCCCAAACTGCCTTGTACAATGTTTTGGAAGTCTGTTTCTGATAYTTCTCCTCCGTCCTCAGCCCTCAGCTATAGCCACCATATCAGGTAGCCTTGCTCAGCTGCCTTGGTCCCCTCTCTGAGCAGCAGAGGTGCTCCCACCAGTGTCCAGCTGAGACAGACTGACASCAATGCTCTCCCTTGGCCACCAGAGCTCAGAGCCTTTGCAGTGGTGCCATGTGCCACCTCCCTGTACCCTCCTTCCACCAGCTCGCCTGCCACAGAGAGGAAATGGACTGTCACACAGCCAGCTGATGGACGGTGGACCCAGYCGACTGGCAGCACCAGGGAACTGCAGCTGCGGGGTCACTGGGTACGAACATCTTGCAGTTAGCAGGAGTTTCCCCGGAGGTGCACAGCTTTCCAAACCAGTCTGACTGAACCGACAGCATCCTGAGGCGAGCTTGGCAGAGCTACTTCCTTTTCCGAGCCAGGGAAAAACATGGCAGAGGGCTGCCTGAAGTCACATAACCAGCTAAAGAGAAAATCTTAAGTGTGCCCCCTCTTCCTTTTTTCTAACAGGAAATCGTGCCCTCCGGAGTCTCCAAACCTAGGGCCGTGCTAGGGATGCCCGGCAGGGGACAGCAGGACCCCACCACTGCACGGAGAGCCCGGCTGCTCCCTGTGAAAGGCAGGCTGCAGCCAGCCCCCTATGAGGTGGGGATGAAAGGACACCATTAAGTTTTACTGTTTGAACAAGAAAAGCATGATAGACACCACATGGATGTGAAGGGGACCGGGAGAGCCCAGAGCTGCAGCAAACACAAATTAGTAAGTGTCCTGTTTTGCTTTATGCTCTGCAATCAAAGGAATCAGCACGCTGCCGATCGCTCATCTGCTCCTCTGGGAGTTTCCCACCCCACCAAAATGCCAAGGCTCAGCAGTACACTGCCCCAATTGTCCCACATTCGACCAGCCAGCCCCAGAGGGCTTTGGTGCACAGTCCAGTGCTGCAGGCTGAACCAGCAGAGAGGGTGAGTTGGAGAGGCTGGTGAAGAGCCTTGGTACTCACAGCCCCTCATGGAGACCCTCTCACTGCTGGCACAATTGGAGAGACTGTGTTTATCCTGGGCCCAGGCCTGGCATTTGCACAGGCTGTGCCTTATGCCTGGCCATGGCTGGGGCTGAGCTCTCATGCAAACACCCAGTGTTGCGGGGGTGGTGCCAGAGGAAGGGGACTGAGGTTGGTGCCTCTGTGGCAAAGGCAATCTTAAGCAGAAAATGGATGCAGGAACACTCTGATGCACTTTTGGGGATCTCACAGACCCCTACAGCACCTGTATCACCGACTTGCTGGT